TGTGTGTGAGTTTGCTTTAATTGCTTTGTGATACTCCATTGGAGCAAAAGGTTAATGAGAATAAGATATTTCGATGATGCATTCATGAATGGTCTAAAGATAAGGATGATGCTCTTTGAAGCGTGCGTGTTGAGATAATGAAGGTAAAACTTTATAAGACTATATTTTCAAAATGAAGCCTGTTGGAAAAAAATTATCATTTATTTATTCCTCATTTCTTACATATACTAGAACATAACATATGCCGTGAAAGAGAAGGTGATCATTTAGAACATAACATATGCCGTGAAAGAGAAGGTGATCATTTGCGAGATGTTGACAGTAACAACCATGATATTGAGCAATGGATATTATTATTATTATTATTTTATTATTATTATTATTATTATTATTATTATTATTATTATTATTATTATTATTATTATTATTATTATTATTATTATTATTATTATTATTATTATTATTATTATTATTATTATAAAGATTTAGTTAGTATTATTATTAATATTACTAACTAGAACATTTATTATTAGCATTGTTATTATTACTACACTCACCGCATGGTGACGACTTCTCCATCTCAACACCTTGAACAGGAACGTTGAATTCGCCAAAACTAGGAACACTAACACTCGGGCGAGCCACGTCCGATTCCCATCGAAAACGTAGCTGAGGTTATCGGGCTTTTCGGCCGTCTTGAGATGGCCTTGATATAAGGAGAGGATAACGTAACAAAGTGGGAGAGTGGGGAAGAGAGATTTGGCCTGGCGAGGAGGGTTAGCGCAAAGAGGGAAGAGGAGTTGTTGGTGGGGAGGTCGAAGAAGATGATGTTGTAGCGGGGTCTAATGAAGCGAAAGGTGTAAACAAAAAGTTGCTTTGCAGCTGAACTAAATAAAGTAGAAGAGGGCCGTAGAAACAAGGTTGTGAAAATCAGGTCGGATAACAAATCACAAGAATGAGAGGTTCACGGTTCGACCGATCGAATCGGGGTTGAACCCGATGATGCAATAAATAAAATATTATTAAAAACTAATAAAAGTTAACATAATATAATATAAATATATTATTCTTAAATAATATTTATATTTATAAATTTTTATCATATTTTTTAACTTTTATAAATATTATTAACTACTCATATATTTATATTATATTATTTATTATATTATATCATATGTATAAATCATATCTAAATATATAACATAAAATATGATTTTAAACTTCTAACTTATTCTTAGTTTGGATACTTGATATATATGATATGATGGATTTGCGTTTAATATTAGATTGTCATATTATTATGTTAATTTTATTAATTTTTAATAATATTATAATTTTTTATATCATTTGTTTCGATTCCAGTTCGGCCGGTCGAACTGTGAACTTTTCCTTCTTCTGATTCGTTATTTATTTTGATTTTCACAATCTTAAATTTTTATGCTAAAAAATTACTAAAAATAATAAAAAAAAAATTCTCAAATGAAGCCTAAATAATTCAAATCTATATTTATCTCAAAATATTGTTTCAATTTTAAAAATCATATAGGGTTATTATTATTATTATTTAATGAGAGTGGGAATCCATCCCAATCTTCCTGAGATCTCATTCTGCACGGCAATTATTAAAATGTTAACTAAATTAATGGTCTTTCTTTGTAATTCATGAACGCTGAGTCGCTGATCCATTCATATAGTACGGTCTGAACGAAGCTTCCCCACCAAAGAAGATCGAGTTTTTCATTGTGAATTCTAAGTTGGCTATCTTCTGACCACGTCGCCGAAGCGGCCGAGTCCACGCCCACCGCTGGCGTCGTCCTATAAAATCAGCCATTGGAATACGTCCATTGAATACAGAACACAGCCGTTACCCCTATCTTCTGCTAGATCTCTTCCCTCATCGAGATCCATGACGACCTCGCCGTGCTATTTCCTCCTCTTGATCCCCATCCTTCCTCTTTGCCTGCTTTTCCTCCTCTTCCTCATCGTCCGCCCCCGCCCCTCCCGGATCCCGATAAAGGGTCGCCACGTTTTCATCACCGGAGGCTCCAGTGGCATCGGGCTCGCTCTCGCACGCCAGGTTGCCGCCGAAGGCGCCCGAGTTTCCATCCTCGCCCGAAGCCGCAAGCGCCTCGAGGAGGCCCGGGAAGCTATTCGCCTCGCCACCGGCGTGGAGGTCGCTATCTTCAGCGCCGATGTACGCGACGCTGAGGAGGTGGCCCGCGCGATCGAGGAAGCCGGCCCTATTGACGTGCTTGTTTGCAACCAGGGCGTGTTCGTGCCGCAGGAGCTGGAGAAGCAGGAGCTCGAGGAGGTCAAGTTCATGGTTGATGTTAATTTGATGGGCACGTTCCATCTCATCAAGGCTGCGCTTCCGGCGATGAAGCGGAGGACCAGGGAGACTGGCCTCCCGGCCTCTATTACTTTGATGTCCTCACAAGCTGGCCAGGTTTGTTCCATCCCTTATTTTTTGATACTGAATTGACAGATTTCATTTAGATTTGGCAGGTTTAATATTTAAGGCGTTCTTGCTCTCATGTCGCTGTTGTTCTAATTGTGTCTTCTAATCTAGGTGGGCGTCTATGGCTACACAGCATATTCAGCAAGCAAATTTGCCCTTCGAGGCTTGAGTGAGGCGTTGCAGCATGAGGTCATTGCAGACAACATTTATGTGTCTCTGATATTTCCTCCGGACACAGAAACCCCTGGTTTTGCTGAAGGTATCTATCGATCATCTCAGCCTTCCTTTCTACTTTTCAGTAACTAGCATCTACCTGATGATTTTAGCAGATGTTGTAATCAAATGAGAATTGAAAATTTACCTCATATTAATCAACTTGTTTCGGGGCTTTGTATTTTTGTCGGCAGAGCAAGAGAGAAGGCCTGAGCTCACCAAAATAATTGCCGGATCTTCTGGTGGAATGAAGGCAGATGATGTGGCAAAAGTATCTCTGAACGGCATTAAATATGGAAGATTCATAATTCCGTGCAACTTTGAAGGAACCATGATTGCTATAGCAACTTCTGGTTTGTCACCTCAGAGTTCGTTTATGACAGCATTTATTGAGGTGGTTGGGGCAAGCTTTATGAGACTCGTTGCTCTTTTCTTCCAGTGGAATTGGTTTACTTCTATAGAGAAGTGGCAGGCCAAAAGCTCTGGCAAACTGAAATAAAACTCTCACAAGCCAGATTTTAGAAGGATGATACAGTTCTGTTTTTTTTTTAAGCACTTTCAATACTTTTGCCCTGAGCTGCTTTTGGATGCAAGATAATGTTATTAAAAGCTATCCTTTTTTACCATACCATTTTCCCGTTGGTTCATATGGGACTCTTTATAAATTTAGATGTATTTGATAATTTGCTTGGAGTTTACCTTAACTTATACCAGATATTAAAGTTGATTTTGTTACTTCTTTAAGTGAAATGAATGTTTAATGAGAAATCCAGTGACACTAAATGGGTTTAGATCCGAGTCCAAATAATTCTAAATCAAACACTCGAGAGTAGCTAGAAATTTCAAAACACTATTGAGAGATCAAGCAATGTCCAAGTTTTACATGTTTATTGCAAAAGAGAGCGACCTGATGAGTGTAATGCAATTAGCCAAACATCAGTTCATTTTAATACGATTAATGCACTTAATAAATGCTTAAAAATCATCTATATGTTAGTGGATCATTGTAGATTGTTCGAAGAAGTGCTTGAGGATATTAGTAAAAGTAATCAAAATACCACTACAAAAATATATAAAAAGGTTCTTTCACATGTAGGGGACCTAGGGGCTCAAAAATTTAAAAATCCTAGAGCTTTGTCAATAATTGATGCTTAAGATCACTAACAATTACCGCTGATGATAATGGCCAGCAACTACCAATGATTGTTAATGGCGATTACCATCATTCAGCTGGCTTCTCTTGGCTAGCCTCATTAGACTATCATTAGTCAAATTTCATCTTTAAACAACCATCTAAACCAACATCAATGCTTTGGGTTTAGGGTCGACACCAATGCCAATGCCAAAGAGGTTAACATATGTGGTCAACACCAATGTGAACAGATAATTTGCACCTCTATTGCAATCTATCAAACAAATTTATAGAACTTGATATTAAAAAAAAGTTTTAAAACATATAAGTTTGATAACTTAGGTTTCATTTTAGACAACTTCTTACTGTTTTTTAAAACAACTTTCTAGTATAAAAATTTCCAGAACTAAAAATTTTTATACTAAAAAGTTACTTAGAAAACAATAACAAGCTGTCCAAAATGAAGTCTTAAACCAAATGAGCAACTCCTATTTATTATCATAAATGGATTGGCCTTGAGGCATGCAGCATGAAGAATAAAAGAAACACTATTTAAAATGTAGATCTATATTATTGGATTGAGCTTATCTATCCAAAATGGAGTGTAAAATAACAATTTTCATAAAAATGCCAAACAGATGACATATACTTGTAACATTTACTAAACCAAAACAATCAATAATTACAAAATGCCAGTCCAACATCAAGTGAAGGTATAATTAAAAAATACCAGCAGGAGACTTGTCATATTTAAATTGGGATATGTTAGACATCAAATATGGTTTAAAATGAAAATTTACTATTAGATCGAGCTATAAACTAGTCGAGCTTAAGCCAAATCTAGCTTGAACTTGAGCATGCTCAATTTTAAGACTTAGAATCCGTCTCATGTGCCGATTCATTTATTCTAAAAGATAGATGATTCAAGCAAAGGTAGAAATAACATAATAAAATAAACAAAGAATTAGAAAAAGGGAACTAATAAAAAAAAATCACTTCATTTAAAAAAGGGAAATATGACATTTATATATTTATAATAGCTTTATGATTAAACCATTAAATTACAAAATATGTTTAAGTCCACAAAATCTATTATTACTAAAAAATTGATAGGACCCACATAAAATTGAACTCTATTGACAATATATTCAAGAATTTCCACATCTTAAAGCCAAAACTCACACTTCAAAAATTTTCTATAGTTTGGTTTCTCGAAGAATATTCATTGTTGCTCTGATTTTGGGTATGATCCATTTTATTCTTAAGGTAAATCATGATATATATAAATAATAGTTAAATTTTTTTGAAGAAAAAGGTAAATCATGAACAACAAGAACAAGAACAAGAACATCAACAACAACAAATTATCCTACTTTGTGTGGTTGGCTATATGATTTCTTTTCTCCATTGCTTCCTAATAAGATTCAAATTATTATTTAAATATAATAAAAATAGTAATTTATAATAATTTCTAACTAAGTCTTTTTGGGTCTATATTAAGTGTAAATTATGTATTATTTATTGTATTAAAATTCAATGAAAATATATTATTTTAGTTGTGATTGTGCATGAAATGTTCAGAAGAAGGAAAAATTCATAAGTATTTAATGAACGCTATAGCGCCCATAGATTTCGCCGCAGCATTGTTAACTACAACACCCCAGTGCCTATTTTTGAAATTGCAATGCCGGCCTCTCAAGAAAATTTGATACTTTCATCATTCCATCCAAATTGTTGCCCAATTTGGTATCAATCTTAATATAGGTCCAACTGTTAGTTAATTGATATCAGTCAACCCCAATTGTCTCCTAGGTGGGCATCAATCTTAATTAGGGTCAATTTTCAATCAATTGGTATTGATCTTCATCTTTCATGATAGCAAACACCCTTTTATATAGCCTCCCTTACATGCAAATGCTAATTTTTGTCGATGTCATGTATGAAATGCAGTAATTTGTAAAATTGAGATAAATCTATCAAATTCATATGCCATGCATTTACTTCAAAAAATAATAGATTCCAATTTAATCGGTAAAAATGTAATATATTCTTGTCAAAATGCTCATTTTGATGAGATATATCACATACCAAAAGTTATACGGTGAAAGTTTTACCAATACAAAATTATTTGTCTTTTTTATAATGAAAATATCAATTTGATCAGAAAAATATCAAAACATAAAATTATTGAAATAAAAAATGGGGTAATGGATCCTTATAATGAGATGAGCAAATTTTCCAATAGGTTCGACTAACAATAATCACTCTATAATCTCCAAAACCTAAGTTTCTTTTTCTATCTCCTCACATTTCTCTCACAATTTGATTTCTATTCTCTATTTGGGTAGAGTAAAAGAGTAGAAATAATTTTATCAAATTCTAGTAGTGGATTAGGATATTTGTAAAAAGATATTCTTTTGAGGTCTTAAAATTTATAAAAAGATATTCATAAAATAAATTCTTTTAATGAAAATAATATTGGTAAAATTGATTTGTATAATGGACACCTAATAATACAAAAATCTCCAACAACAACAACAACAACATCAAGCCTTTATCCCACTACGTGGGGTCGGCTACATGAATCCTTTTTCTCCATTGTGTCCTATTAAAAGTCAAATTCTCGTTTAAATCTAATAAAGAAAGGTTATTCCTAATATTTTCTAACCAAGTATTTTTAGGTCTACCCCTACCTTTCTTAACATAAGTCTAATCTAATACCTCTACTCTCCTAACCGGGTCATCGCAAGGCCGCCGTTTTATGTGACCAAAGCATCTAAGGCGACTCTCTCTAATCTTATCTTCTACTGGAGCTTCTCCAACCTTTTCATGTATATGCTCATTTCGTATCCTATCTCTAAGGGTAAAGACACTCATCCACCTGAGCATCCTCATCTCTGCCACACTTAACTTAGTATTAATACAAAAATCTCCACTTGTAAAAAATATGTGTTAATTTTTTAAGGATTTGCACTGGTGCCCTAAAACTATAAGAAAATTAGTGTAATTAAAATACTATAATATATATCATATAATGAAGACGATATGTGATTTAGACATATAATGACTTATAAAAAAATTATTTGATTGGGTTAAAATACATACGGTTACAATATTAATTATGAATAACATAGCATAACATAATGACATTTCAGGGATACTAGCATTATTATTGATACAATATAACATAGTAGTTATATTTTTTAATGGTTGGACAGTGCTTTAGATGTAGATAGCGAGGGCACTAGATGGCTGATTGTCCACTATAATAATAGTGGTCAGGATTTGGATTTAGAGGGGAGTAAGCCAAATAAGGCTATATGAAAAGAACTATGAGATATAGATAATACAATGAAGGGTTTATGAGTAAGACATTTAGAGGAGTGGTTGAAAGTCAAAGAGGACCTAAACAATATGCTACACCAACACTGCCACGCGTACGACCAAGAGTTTACAATATGATATAGTAGAGTGATAGAGATGCACCTAAAGGATCCACTAGCAAAATTTTAATTCATATAGTTATAACTGTATTTGAAATGATTGATTAATAATTATTACGTAGTATATTAACTGATTGAATGAGATATATAAAAATGATTGCTTGAGTAAATTTATGATTGATTGAATGCAACGAATTATAAGTTAGTGATCAGTACTGAAAGTCCGTATAGGTTATAAAACCTATTACAGTTGTCCTAATGCTAACCAAGGGGGGGGGGGGGTGAATTGGTAATTAAAAAAAAAACTCTTGGTAGATTTTAGAAAACTGTTCTTATGATTTTAACATAATGAAAATTTATCAATTTAAACTTTTCAACCACAAAATTAAAAGTGCACTAAAAATAAAATAAAAGAACACAAAAATTTATAGTGGTTCTATCCAACAAGATCTACATCCACTCCTAAAGGGCTCTTTATGTATTGCACTACACCAAAGTGACTCTCCTTTTGCTTCTATAGTAAGGCAGAGAAGCCTTTACAATTAACATCTTTCCACCAATCCCCGGTGCGGTATAGTGCCATCATCCTTTCACACTATCCAAGAATCATCATAAAATTGTTATCGTTTCATACTCTCCAAGTGTCGGAGAACCGTCACCTTTCACACCCTCTTAGTGTCGACAGAGAATCAAATCTTCTCCAAAGATCTTCTCTCAAGCATCTTCGAAGAAGTAAGGAAGCTATTTGATAAACTTACAAAGAGATTCTCACCTTTGGGTAACCTTATGAATCATTCACAAATTTCACTTGCAAGATCTCTCTCTCCACACTCTCAAACAATCTCCTAAGGCACTCTCACTCTTGTTCTTAAAGAAAATATGAAGAAGGATCAATTAAAGCCAGTTTTTTAGGATCTTATATATGAAATACATGAAAAATAGTTCATAAAATTAAAAATTTCAATTTGACCATCCATGATCATATAGTACGATCAAATATCGTATAAACATATAGTTCAAAATTTTCTTGTACATTCTTGTACGAACTGATTTTGTACTCTGATTGACCTGTGTACAAACTAATATTGTATAGTATGATCAGTTCAAAATTGAACAAGTTCATCCGGTACGATTCAATACGAACCGATTTCATAC